GGAAGAAACAGTGAGAGATCTCGACGGAGACCAAGGAACACAAGTTTTTCACTTTTCAGTTGTGAATTTTGGGGACTTTTGATCATAAGATCCAGTCAGAATCTATGGAGATTTTTTACAATGGGTAGGGGAACAGTCTACCGGTCTTCTAAGATGTTGATCCGTCCCATGTGAGGAAGCAGATGGGAAGCTTTGTCGAGTCATTTGCTAGACACCGGAAAACTAAACCCTCCGACATGATGGAGGGATGGAAGAAGGCACTTGCAGAGGTTACAGATCTAGCTGGGAAGGTTTAAAGATGGTTTGGAGTTGTTGGTGAGGTGGTAAAATCCGGAGCATTAAATTAACTAAACATGAAATCAATGGTTAGAAAAAGTAGGAGGGGATGGTAAGTAGGAGGGCAGACAATCTTGGTCCCTCTCTCTCTCTCATAGGGTTTGCCACGCGGTAGGGGCCTGTTGCTCCTTGCTGAAATGAGCTCAGCCGGTAACTTTGCAAAGGGAGATTAGACAGCTGCCGCGGTGAAGATTGCGGAGGATCATTCTGATTTTGTGATTGGCTTCATTTCAATTAATCCAGCATCATGGCCAGGGGCACCCGTAAATCCAACTTTCATCCAGGCAACTCCTGGAGTGCAATTAACATGCTTTTGGCCAGCAATATAACACTCTAAACTCCGTAAGTTTACTATATTTCTACTTGCATTTCATATTACCATACTCTTTTATTAGCCAGACTTGTGCCTGAAATTTTTTTTGTTGCAGGTTATCTATGATAGAGGTAGTGACATCATAATTGTGGGCCGTGGAATCATAAAAGCCCCAAACCCTGCTGAGGTCACTCGTGAATATCGTCGTCAAGGCTGGGATGCATACTTGGCTAAATGCAGCAACAGCAGCTAAGATATTTGTATTAGGCTGGCTCCCCTGTTTCACTCATGTTTACATTATTTCTAATTTGCCAAGAGTGAGTGAATTATGATTCACATGAAATGAATGTGTGGTTTTGTGAAACCAGAGGATATGAGGTTTGAGGTATTACTGTCTTTTTGGTAGTTTGAATGGGGAGCCATTACATTCAGAAGAAAATAACTAATATCGTTGTTATCTGAAATGACATCTATCAGTTGACACAGCATAGATGGAATACGAAACTAGTGCAACAATGTCGCAAACATGCATAAGTCTTAAGTATTTCTAACCTACCTGTCGAGCTTTCCACTTTCTCAAAAGTTCATCATACACATTTTCCTTCCTTGCTTGGAAGAGGTTTTGTTTCAGCTTTGACAATGTCGAAAACTCCAATTTGATTCCTCTTGCAATCATATCCTCTGTGTGCTTGACTGCTTCTGGTACCTATTCAGACCACGAAGCCCTACCACCAACAAATTCCCGGTATCCTCCAAGTCGGAATGGTAATTCTCTATCATGCACTTCCAAACTTTTATAGCAAAGTAAGGGTCCCCAAAATCCAAGAAAATCCTTACTGCTGTGCCACAATTAGCAAGCTCTGGAACACACTCATTTTTAACCATCTTAGTAAACAATGCCGAAGCCTCCTTTAACTTCCTATCCTTGATTAAAAACTTAAAACACCATGTTATATTTGTGAATTCGGGAACGCCCCATCGTACACCATCTCATCCAACATCCTTTTCGCTAAATCTACATTGCCATCATGACAATGTAAAGAAATCACTGTACTATACATACTTGTATCAGGTCGGAATCCAATTCTCTTTGTCATTGCCTGCCAAAGAGTGTCAGCTCCCCAAGCATCGCCCTTCTTGACACACTTATCGAGTGCAAGCCTGAAAAAATTGATCCCCGGATAACACCTCCTATCTTCTAAGGTCTCAAAGAACTTCACCACCTTGCAGATCCCATCAGGTCCCTTAAGCAAAGTATTCAAGAACGAATCATAAGCCGGCACATTTTTTGGATCCTAACCAATCTCAATCACCATCTCAGAAAAAACCTGCCTAGCACAATCTACGCTGCCTTCATTTTCCAAACCCTCCAACAAAATGGTGTAAGTATCGGGGTCCGGCGTAATACTAACCTTGGCAACGCGCAAAAACTCAACGGCATCAACGGCCTTGCCATCTCTGCAGATTGCACTCAAAGGTGAATTCAAGGCCACAATGTCCCTAGGACAACCATACTGGCTCATACACTCAAAAGTCGAAATAGCCTCTTTAACACGACTGGCAACTACGTAACTACTAAAAACAGAAGCAAAAATGGCCAAAGAGAGTAACCTTTCTTTCGCCATGACACTGATGGCGTCCCACATTGCATCAAAGAAGCAATTCTTGCCCAAAAGATCAACAACCAAGTTCCAAGCATAGGGGGTGTGCAAGTCATTCAGCTGGCGACCGGCCCACCGAAAGAACTTCACGGATGGGCTCGGGTACCCGTAGGACAGTTTGAGCACCTCTTCAACATCTTCTTGGGTCACTCTAACACCAGTCTCCTCCAACCGTTCCTCAACAGAAATGGTGCGGGTTTTCGCCAATATTTCGCAGAGAAGCTTGATTTTCGGAGGCAAATCTGGAGTGTCGAGGTACGAGGCGAAGGTTGGGCGTTTTGCTACTGGGGTTTGGGGATGTGGGGTCGGCAAAAGAGCTGCGGCTGAAGAATTGTGGGTTTTGTGAACAGGGGTTGGGGGATTCTGTGAATTGGGTTGGAAGAAGAATGCAGTTTCTTAGAGGGCTGGCGTTTATGGTGATTTGGGTTTGGAGAAGAGGGATTGTGGGGAGGTGGGTAGCCATGGCGTCGTTTATTGCTGGTTCTTCTGGCCATATGAATATTCGTAAGAGAAACTCAAAGGAGAGAAATTAACAAAGCTTCAGGAACCTAGATTTGCATCCGAAAACAGACGCCGGTGGTGGAGCGAAGGACGGTATCCCTTCCTGTCGGAAAATCGATGGCAAAAAGGGAAGGTAAAAATCTCTTTGAATAGATTCTCACGTGCGCAAATCAATTTTACTTGTGTACCTTGAACCAGGATCCTTGCCGGATCCATTTCCTAGTGATCCTAGGGATCACGTAATCGTGTCCGTTCACCGTATATCATACGTTCATAAATTGTTTAAAATTTAAAATTCAAATATAAATAATACCTAACGAAAACTGACTGCACGATATACGATAAACGAACACGATTGCGTGATCCCTAGGATCCCTAGGGAATGGATTCCGTAAGGATCCTGGTTCGTGTAGCTTCAGCGTTTGGGTGCTTTTAATTGGCCCTAGCATAATTTAATCTATTTAATTTAAAATAAGTATTTCTCTTTGTTTGTAGATGAGAAGTTTTAGATTCAATTATTGTTATAGATCAATTTGAACAATATTATTGTTAGCCCATTATGAAGTTAAGTTCACCTCCTCTTAGTGTAAATAATATCGTTTGTTAGAATATATATAATCAAGGCTAGTTATTTATTGCCTTAGTTATGTTAATAAATAGTCCGGCAATTGGTATTAACAATTTTTTTAACCCATTTTATCACTAGATCTTTAGTTAGCAACATCATGTGGTTACAAATGTAATGTAAGGAGATGACTAGCAATTGGTTAAATAAGTGCATGTGGGGTGAAGAAATTGGTTAAATAAGTGCATGTGGAGAGATCTTCAATTAACCAATTTCGTAAGGAGACGACTAGCAACATGGCGACGAAAGAGGGGAAGAACAATTAGCAAGTCAAATAAGTGCATTTAACGCATTAAATGCAAAGTGACAATTTCGAAATAAAAGAAATTGAAAACTTAGAAAATGGCCTATATAAGGAGGAGAACAACCCCTTAGAGGCATAGAACGAATTACGAGGGAAAATCTTACTGTTCTAGGTAAGCGCTATTTATAACTCTCCATTAATCTAAAGAAACTCAATGGACGGAGCCCAATTTTAAGAATTGAACCATTTAAACCTTGTGTTATTTCTATTCATTAAAAAAAAATTTCAATTGAACTATTTTATCTTACAAGTAAGAGAAAATTGTAGCAATAGTCCCGTAACTTTTACTCAATTGGAGCAAAAGTCTCTCAATTAAAAATTCATTACCATTGGTCTCTCAACTCATTAAAACATGTAATTATGATCCCTCAACTAAAAATCTATTACCATTGATCTCTCAACTTTAATCCAACTAGAGCAATGGTCCCTCAACTTTAACCCAATTGGAGCAATAGTCTTTCAACTTTAACCTAATTGTAGCAATGTTCCTTCCAATATAACTCATTTTGACAAAATTCTAAGGAATTTGACAAAAATTACCATAGCTACATATTTTGATGAGTTGAGGGACCAGTTGTAATGAATTTTTAGTTGAGTAACTATTGCTCAAATTTGATTAAAGTTGAGAGATCATTGCTACAATTTACTCTACAAATAATGATAGATGGTGAAAAAGTTAGTAATTTTGTAATACTACAGGGGCTAGGCTTGGAAATCGTGGTGTCTTGGTCATTTTGGTTGATTGTTTCCTCCCATTTATGTTGTTTTGGGTTTCCGACTCCCTTTCCCTCTCTTCTTGGATCGGAAATAGCCGTAAGAAAAATTACAGGAAGGATATCTCTTATCTATCAAATTTTTTTTTTATTTTTCTATGAGTTTATCCACATTTTCAACTTTTAATATTAAGCAATTTGTTGTATTAATTTTCTTAGATATTTATTGTCATCAGCACTCTAATTTCGTTAAATTTTCTCTATTTTAAGTCTGAAATAACCCTAAACACATACTTATATTAGATGAAAATTTTAAAGAAGTTGGAGAAAGATGCAAACTAATAATTTTAGAAAGTTGATAACTTGATATGACAACTCCTTTAAAATATTATTTTATATAACAAATTAAAAAATGTAAAAGTTTATATGACATTGTTAACGCTTAACTGCTGAAGTTAACAAAAGTTCAATGGATCACGTGTCTATCATTGATGGGCTTGGGCTCCTAAAAAATATTTTTAAAATTTCCCCCGAAATAAGTAAACAGAACCACCGTAACAGAAAACTCGTTTCAGAACCCCCAAAAATTGAAGCAGAAGCTTCTTACACCTGTGGAAATGGCGGCTTCCGATTCCAATGTCCCTCAGCGCCAATCGCAGCCCTCAAACCAACCTCCACCACAAAACCCGACTCCGACTCCGACTCCGGTTCAGCATCCGGCTTCTTCTGCTTCTCCATCAGCTTCTTCTTCCAAGAGTAAGTCCTACATCTTTCTACCTAATTTTCTGTATATTTCACCCAAAAGATTATAGAAACGGTTATGTCTGGTTTTGGAGAACGAACTAGTTTTGTTGTGGTTTTCCTTTCGTTCTGTATCTATTCGCGGTAATCATGAGGTGGGATATCGCCGCCGGGATTTAATTGAGAGAATCTCTTTGGGTGTGTGGATTCCAATCAAAATTATAAATTGTGTAGCTCTAACTTTTTTCTACTTTAGTGTGATTTTATTTTTAATCTGAGAAATGAAATTTAGCTCACAATTCTGTAAACTATCACCTTTGTTTATAATGGTTTTGAACTTGCAAAAGATTGAATCTTTGGTAGTTCTTATACATTTGAGTTCATATCGGCTTACCAGGTCACCTGACGCACAAAAATCAGCTGCATGAATATGCCCAGCGATCAGGCATTTCGCCTCCTGTTTATCGGACTGTTAATGAAGGAATGATAAATAGACCAGTCTTTAGGTCTGCTGTGTTGGTTGGTGGAGTTTGCTATACTTCACCCGACACATTTCCTGGGCGAAAAGCTGCTGAACAAGATGCAGCGAGACTTGCCATGATTAGTTTAACAGAGAAGATAAAGGATGAAGTTCGTCCTATTCCTCCTATTCCTTCTGTTACTCCTGTTCATGAGGTTCAGTTTTCTATGCTCAAAGTTTCTGTTTGGGTACACATTTTTTGTTTTAACATAATATATGAATTGTTCAAAAACTTGTTTTTTCAGATTAGCTTGCAACTCTTTTTGGGGGCATCATCGCTATCTAAATGAAATATTTGCTTGCTTGTTTTACACTTTGCATTTTACCATGCAATATAGAAAGGAATGGAAGATGTTAAATTTCACTACATTCCATTGGTTATTTTCAGGATCTGATGTTGTACAAGATGATGCTGAATGAATATAGAACGAAGAGGAATATTGAACCACCTACATACCACACTTTTCAGGGAAAAACGAAGGTTCCATTTTTTGTATCTTCTTTGGTTTTCAATGGTGTGACTTTTACAGGGGAAGTTGCAAAAAGAAAGAAAGAGGCTGAACAGTTGGCGGCTCGTGCTGTTGTCCAATCGCTTCTAGGTATTGTTTTTACTATTTTAATTATACATATTTGTTTAAAGTAACTTATAACTTATTTGTGAGTTAATGTGGTGCATGCACTTATTTTCTTGTGGCTGACTAATTGAAGATAAATTCAGGTGATTCTGAATCAGCGCCCATTATGTTGGAGATCCTTAGGTCTAAAAACAAACTTGCACATAAGAGTAAGGAGCCAGCCGGTTCTCATGCCAGTCTTGCTACTTCAGCAGTAAACGCAGGTCAAAGTTATGTAATCTCGACTGACACTCCAATAGCTGCTGCACCTGAGGCATCTTTGGGAATGCATCCTCCACACCATGAATTTATCAAACGGAAGCGAGAGGAACCAGCTTCTCAAGCAACCCCCCAGCTTCCCATAACTTCGTTGGCTGCTGCTCCAACTTCTTTGTCAACTGCCCCAACTTCCTTGGTTGCTGCTCCAACTTCCTTGCCCCCTACTCCAACTTCTTTGGGCGTCTCTCCAACGTCTTGTGCTGTTCTTCCAGCTTCCAAAAAGCGGCGTAAGAACATAAAGGCTGAAAAGAACTTGCAGAATAATGCCCAGTAAGTTATAGCTTATTGTTATTTTTTTATTTCTCTGTTTTTTTTTTTTGTTTATATTTTGACCTGTGCTTTCAGTCACAATAATAATTTAACATTTTTTATATTCTCATGAAGACTAAATAATTATCTGAGCAATATGAAACTTCCTATTGCTGGAGTATATGTATGCACATGTTGCTTTTCGATTTGAAGGATTTTGGGTATAAGGCAATATATTCCTTTGCTTTTGTTTTCCACAGTACCATGTTTAAGTTTTTTGTATTCCTTAATTTGCCATGCTAAGTAGTCATAAGCTAATATACCTGCTAGATTGTTTTGTTTTCCGATTTTTCACAGTTACTTAAAATTAGTCTGTGCATATGGAAAACTAATCAACCAAAAGATGTACTTGATTGAGCAGGGAAATATACTATGAAATTAGTTGCCACTCGGTGGAATTCGTTTTTCTCCATTCTACATATTGCTTTCGAATCTTGTTCCTCTCTTGGATTCTTATAGAGGTGAAGGGGTAACAATGGGTTTCCTTTAGTATATCAATCATCTATAAAAAGGTTCTCAATCTTCAACTTGATTTAAAATCGAAACAAAAACTTGTTTGTGATTGTGTAGTGTTTCTCGGTTTCCAGGTGAGGGGAAGGTATATGTATGTATACCATGGATTCCTGTGAAGTTATATAAGTATAATAACTCTTGCTTGGCTTTCGTTTATAAATTATGGTAAATCCGATTTGCGAAAACTGTGTGTTTAATTGTTGTATTCACTAGCTTAATTGAACTGTATTCTAAAAATTGCAGTTTGCCAGTTGGTAAGTTGAACTTGAATCAACGAGCATCTTGTTCAGTGTCGCAATGAATACGATAACCGCGTGGTATTTATTGCAAGGTGTAGGTCAGGCTCTTATGTATTTAGATTTTGTTGGACATTTAGACTGCTTCTGCAGGATAAGACATTGCGGTCGCATGCTAGGAAATTGGAAATGGTTCGACTCGGATGTATGTTTCTCTCTCTTTGTATGGTAAAAATTTCCTTTACATTGCCATCGACGTCTTATATCTTATGCTTTTAGTTGGAACTGGATTCTGATTCAAAATTTGCTTAAAAAGATAGGACTTTAGCGAGCTTCCATCAATTACAAAATTACCAATTGCCAAGTTATTTTGGCTTTGTAATAAAACAGAATAAGGATTCGAAATCAGACTATTGCGTGGAAGTTTTATAGATTCTTTACTTCTATTAACATCAAACAAAGGTTATATATTTTTTTTGAGAGATTTTGTGCGACGAATGTTAATTTTTGTCTCGCAATGCCTTCTTGAGAGACGAACTTCAAGATCCTTCGTGCAAGGAATTTTTTTTTACTAGTGTGTTTAAATGATCAAGGATTGATGTACAAGAAAGGTTTTGGCCAGTCTTACCAAAAACATTTTGGTCGTCGAGTGTTTCTACAAATATCCTAGGTAGTGGGTGTACGAGAAGGATAATACTTGCATCCTCTTATGCGGGAAGTTCACATATCTTACCCTTTACGAATAAGGTATCTACACCATATAAAATTTATAGATGGAATTGTTCAATTTTCATCTTCATTTGAAAATCACATTTACGAAAAATCATTTGAAATAGTGATCGTTTATTCATCCAAATATATGACTTATTCATGATGAACCGTTTATTTATTAATACATTTTGCTAACTAAAAAACATTTTACTTGGATAATTTCTAATAGTGATCTTCAAATAAAGAATCAGAACTTGTGGGCATCTGTATCGTGTTTGGGTCCAATTTTGTATTTTGAAATTTAAGCTCTCCTCCTCTTTTTCATATGCATGACTCTCATTTAATTTCTCCTTTCCTCTTTAATTCGAGTCGTGTTCAGCTTAGTCCACTCATTCACTTTTTAGTATAAATAATATCGTATGTATTATCCCCATAATGTTCACCTTAGCTACTGTAAAAAAATTAAAAATTATTATTTCCCCATTTTTGATCGTCCGAACTTATACTCAAAACGGAACTGCAGCCAAACAAAATAATAGAAGTGGATCAACCAAGCAGCTAAATTCTATAAAAGAAATCATTATTATTGTCCAAGACCATACTTATTAATAGACAGAATTATTATTTATTTACTAAATAGAAAATGGGCCCCATACTTAATAATAAAACACTAGAAAAAGTCCACATACTGTGAAGATTTTTGTTGCCTTTGGAAAAAGTAGAAATCGTGCCCCAATTCACATGGAAATTGAAATTGGATGAAAGGAGTCGGTAGGAAATTCCATTCACGTACGATATAATTTCTTATTAGTTGGCAAAGCTAGTTAACACTAATTACGCAACCACTTGAAAAAATCAACTTGGTAAGTTATAGGTCTTTTCTCCCCCTTGATTGAATGACTCTAGTAGTCATGCTAATCTGACCATAGTCACGAAGAATGGCTGCATAATTCATATATATATATATATGTGTGTGTGTGTATGTATATATATAAGCCTCTTGCATGCATATTTCATACTTGGCATCTTTGTTGGATAAATAATCCGTAGATCAAAGATCAACCAAACTGAATTGAACAGTCTCTATTCAAACCCTAGTTCATATATTAATTAGCTCGAAGTAGATATCCATTACGCGACAACGTCATAACATTACCTTCTTTCTTCTCTATTTGGATGCGTTGCCACATAAGCTAGGTTTTTAGAATAGTTTGTTACAACTTACATGCAATAAACAGCAATTGTTGTATACATGTTTTGTTGATTAATTAATGTGAAATCTTCTGTTCATTTCTCTCCCTCCCTGCGATTCTCTCGAGTTTCTTCATCTTTCTTCACCTGCTATCATACAATCTCTCTGTAATTCAGTTTGTTAGGACTTTTCACCCGTCTCTCTCTTCCTTGTGCTTTCATCTTCCTCACAACATTGGCCACCACCACATAAATGATAGAGGATGACGACGAAGACAACGAAAATTTGAATTGGCAATGACGCTTGTCATAATTGTTGGGACTTGGTGGTATCGGTAAAACAGGTAAGACTATAAGTTTGTTGCTTTCAATTTGGCGAGAAATTTTGTTGCTAAATTAGGGTATAAACATCATTAGCTAATATCTGGTTTTTGAATTTGTATACAAAGGAAATTATGAAAGATAATACAACTATAAATGTAATTAGCCATGTACAAAATTCTTAAAATGTTCGTGTTCCACAGTGAATTGGAAAATAAAGTGGAAAATGAAATAGAACACCAAAAATGTGCGGATATTGTCATTTGTGAAAATGGTTACCAACAAAGCATATAGATCATTGTTGCAATCAAATTTGCACATCGTCGCAGATGATGAAGGCATAAATTCGAGCAACCTGCAAAAATCATAATCACACAACAATGTTGTTAATGAATTAAAAAATAACGGAACTTTCTTAGGTGGCAGGATGGGGCTTTAATTTTCTTTTCTTCCCTAGGCGTACATGGTTCGAAATTATATATTATAATATTATAATATTTAATTTTTGTGTGAATGAAAATAATAGTCAAGTATTTGGATTGAATTCAAATTCAATTGCATGAGTGCATCTGTTCGTTGGAACTTAATTCAACCGTTACAATGTTTCAAAACAGGTGGCTGGAGTTCTATATAAACTCAACCATCCCACTCGTCTAAATAAAATAAAAATAGTAAAGTTTTCTCCATGGTCTTTTATTCTTTATTGTCAAAGTCTCCGGAGATTAAAGTGCTTCGACTTTGAATTATAAATTGTTGAATCATGGAAGACGAACGCAGGCAAAATTCTATATTTAGGACATTGCATTTATGCAAACGTCCAAGTTTGTAAGCATACTTCTTACTTTCTCTATTGTCTACATTGATATACTTCTTACTTTCTCTGTTCTCTACATTGATTTTATACACATTTATTGATGTAGTATATTCAGTTTGTGAATTTTATAGTTATTCTTATCAGAATTTATATTGTTATTTTCATATTTTCTAATAGGGAGACTTTGGATGCGGTCCTTGGTTAGAAATATTCTTTGATTGAAACCTTGTTGGTTTTTTATTTTTGATCGAGATCCCTGAAATCAATGTGAGAATTTATTTCTACGTACATTGCTATATGTTTTAAATTAAAAATTAGAAATTTTAGTTGTTTATATAAATGAGATTTTAAATAAAAAACCATAATTTGTGGGATTAAAAATATTAAAATATAAATATACAAATGTGTGTGATTATATATATAAACATGGGTACATTCTTCAAAATCACAACAACAAAAAAAAGAAGATCTTAGGCTTAATAACATTAGCAAATTTCTTCGATTAAACTTGACATGGATACATTTTAAAATCAAAGAAAAAATAATGTACCCATATAAGTTTAAAAATGGATTAAAAAAAATTGAATAGATTATATATATATATATATATAAAAAAAAAAAGGGGTACATTCTACATATAACAAAATAAAAAGTTTTACATGAATAGGTACATATAATTAGCATGGGTACATTTAGCAAAAATAAAAAGTACAAATAAAAAAAATATATGGGTACGAATACAAATAAACATTAAAAAATATGGGCACAAAAAGAAATTAATATATTGTCACATCCCGGCCCGGGTGAGACCACTTCCCGAGCCCGCTCCACCTCCGTAGCACGATATTGTCCGCTTTGGGCCCCGACCACGCCCTCACGGTTTTGTTTCTGGGAACTCACACGAGAACTTCCCGATGGGTCACCCATCGGGGGAATGCTCTCGCGCGCTACTCGCTTAACTTCGGAGTTCCTACGGAACCCGAAGTCAGTGAGCTCCCAAAATGCCTCGTGCTAGGTAGAGATGTGAATATACATTTAAGGATCACTCCCCTGGGCGATGTGGGATGTTACATATATGGGTACAAATTAAAAAAGAATTACAAATTAAAAATGGGTACAAGCCAAAACTAAAAATATATGATAAAAAATTTAGTTATAAATATAAATATACTAATTGTAACATTTTTAACATTAAATGAATATATTTAGAAATAAAAAAATATTTTATTATTGAAATAATTATTGATGTTATTAATACCCAAAAACTTTGATCAAAAATTGAAAAGGAATAGCATTTTAATCAATGGAATAGCAAAAAGAATGATAAGAACCTAATTTCTCCTTTCTAATATTGCTGCAGCAAACATATCATTTTCTGATGGCGATGGGAACAATTCACGAAAAAAATGATTTGTGGTGAGATTAGTGGTGGGATTGAGGAGATACAAAGAAGGGGATTATATAGGGGCACCTTTGAGATTTTCTCAAATGAAAAGAGTGTTAATTCATTCATTATTAGGATTGAATTCTAAAAATATGACATTTGTCAAAAATAAGGAAAATTAGGGGAGTTGTTTGGCAGTGTCTATAGTATTTAGTCATAAAGCATGAATTATAGTATGTTATATCTCGCCTTATTACTTATATGTTCTTTTTGTCTCACATCAGTCTCAGGTATCCTGCACTTTATGGGGTGGGTCTGAGACATGGTTCTTCACTACATAATTTTTATCATGTGTCATATGATTTTGGCCTACTAGTTAGATTAGGACTTATGTTCGCTATTATGCATTATTAAGTGGAGACCAAGTTTGAGTATATAAATACGGCAATTGTTCTACAAATTCTTCATGCAAAGATTTGGTGAGTTCTATTGTTGCATAACTTTGATTTACGGTGGCAATCAAGTTTTAAACTTATCGGTTAATTCAGGATTTCAATTATTTTGAATTGCATGAGAGTTCGGTTTAGAATTGTGCTTAAATTTAGTAATACGAGCTGTTTGAGTCATGTGATTTGCTCCACCTTAAATTAGATTATTACTTTTGTTGTTACCGAAGTTTTTGATATACTGTTCAAATTTATCTTATAAATATTATTTCCTATCAAGAAATAAAGATAAGATAGACGGGACTAGTTTATTCTTTAGCCAAAAATTGGGACCACCTCTTGTGCTAACATATAATTAAGAATGATTGATTAGGAACTTAAACTGCCAGATGGATTCAATATATAGTCTTCTTCTTAGAGGTTCTGGAATTAGGACGGATTTACTCATAATTTCAAGTGAGTATGAACCAGCAAGGACATAAGGGGAATGGCATTAAAATAAATCTTAAGATTAATTGGTTAGAGAGTTTATGATCTGTTGTGTAATAAAGAGAGATTGATTCG